GATGGGTTTTCCGTCCTGCAGTAGGACTGCACCCGTACCGCGGAAGGACGCGTCCGAGATCAATTCGAACGTAAACGGCTTAGTCATGTTTGGGTACCGTAGTAGTACATCGTCTGCTAACGCATTTTTCACCATTTCAAAGGCGTGTACCCGTACTGGTGTCCAATCCTCAGGACGGACTTGACCTTTTCCACGTAACATATCCGTGAGAGGAGCCGAAAGCGAAGCATACGCTTTAACGAACTTCCGGAAATAGTTCGTAAGGCCCAAGAACTGCCGTAACTCGGACACGTTCTGTGGCAGTGGCCAGTCACGGACAGCCTTCACCTTCTTAGGGTCCATGCGCACTCCTTTGGCACTAACAATGTGACCGAGGTACTCAAGCTGAGTTTGCGCCCAGTGGCACTTGGACGACTTCGCATGAAACCGTTCCCGTCGTAGCACTTCGAACACGGTTTTAAGGTGTTTTAGATGCTCTTCACGACTTCGGGAATACACCAGGATATCATCCAGGTAAATCACGACAAACTTGCCGAGGTAGGGCTGAAAGATTCGGTTCATCACCACTTGGAACGTGGCAGGGGCATTAGTCAGCCCAAAAGGTAGGACAACATATTCATAGTGTCCCAGGGGAGTACGAAACGCTGTCAGCGGTACATCCTCTGCTCGAATCTTAATTTGATGGTATCCCTGTTGTAAGTCAATGGAGGAGTAGATCACACTACCTCCCAGACTATCCACCAATTCATCTATCCGCGGCAACGGATACCGGTTTTTAACCGTTTGTGCGTTCAGCCCTCGATAATCCACCACCATGCGTAACGTTCCGTCCTTCTTTCCCACGAAGAGGATCGGAGCTGCCCATGGAGATGCGCTAGGGCGAATCATCCCCTTTTGCATCAGGTCAGTTACTTGACGTTTCACCTCCTCCAGCTCAGCGGGAGTTAAGCGATATAATGGGCGAGATACCGGTGTTGCACCTGGTTGCAACGGAATGGTATGTTCCACGGGTCTATCTGGTGGTGGCCCCTTCAGGTCCTGAAAGATCACTTCGTATTTTGCAATCAGTGCTCTGAACTCCGGGTCTAGCGTTTGCTCAGTAGCGTTGATTGTGCGCGGTATTCCAGCCTGTGGGGACTCCGGGTCTTGCGTTTGTCCAACACTGGTGGCGCGCTGCGATTCAGGCAATGCAACGGGCTCCGGATTTTTCGTCTGTCCGGCATTGACTGCGGCAGCGGTAACCGGCTTCATGCCACCGCCGGCTGGCTGACTCCGCGCTACACCCGCTTTTGTTTGCGCTTGAGCCGCTGCCTGTTTCAGTACGGCTTCAGCTCGTACTAGTGGTCGGATGAGCAAAGAATGCGCCCCCTTGCGCATAAGGCTTTTCGCTTCCTTGCGAGTAGCCGTTTTGACGCTTGCTCGATTCATGAACGCAGCGATTACGTGGTGAACTTCACGCTCCGTAGGTACCGCCGCGGACACCGTCCCTGGCGTATCCTGCCGCTGCTTAGCTATCCGACTAAACTTGACACGGTAACTGAGGTTCCTTTTGCGAAAACGGACTTGACTTTTCTCAAAGTCCAGATTCACCTTATACCGTTCCATGGTTTACGCGCCAACGATCACGTCTGCCGTTGCCGTCAGGTTGGGCAGTATCAGCGCAGGAACCTGAACCCGCATTGGACCAAGCTTCAGCCTTAGCAAGGTCTGGCCGAGGATAGGTGTAGTACTTCCGTCGGCTAAGCTCACATGTGAGAAGGTTGTATTCCCCACTCGCGTATGGAGCTCTTGTACGAGGGACTGCGAAACAAAGTTGTGGCTGGCTCCCGTGTCCAACAGGACATTCACCTTCTTGCCCCCAACTTCAGCAGTTACGTGAGGTGCATTGAGGCCTGGGGCAGGAGGCGCGCCCGCTGCGTACTGCATCAGCATGTTTTGCCAACCCGTCGGTGCGTTGCCTAACGGTGGAGGTTGCGCCATCAGGGTAACTCTTGCGTGGCCGACAAGTCACGCGCTTCCCACTCTCACCAGAGTTGGTATCCGAGTCCGTGAGACCTGACGAGGCCGTGTGCGACTCGTCGCTCACTGAGGGGGACAACAAGGGACTTCCGGGTAAACTAGGCAAGTCCACCAAGGGTATCGAGAGGCGCGGAAGCGATTAACCCTTGGAACGGTTAGCTGCTAGTTTGCGGGGAAATGCGTTGGCGTTACTACGCAGCCCTACTGGGGACTCTCAGTACCTACTGGAGATTCGCAGTCGACCGAAACGTCGGAGAATTCGTGCCAACGTGTCCATGCAGGAAGGCGCGCACCGTCAGGCCTGCGAAAGGTCCCGTACTGCAGCTCCAAGATGCCCGGAGCGCGAGCCTGAAGCGCCGCTAGGCTGATGTATCCTAGGGGGTGGCTCTAAAGACTGCGCGGGGGGGGGGCTCAGGTCTCGATACCACTTGTAGTGGTATCTACCCTTGGCGGATCCAGCGTGGTAGAGGCGATGTTGACTGGCGCCGATGAAGTAGACGAGTAGCTAAGTGTAGGTGAAGATTGTAGTGAAATCCAGAGTTGAGAGGTCGTGGTTCAGGTCGGCTTCAAGCCGCCTTAAATAGGGCTCAGTCCTGTATTGCTGTCAAGCGGACCGGTTATCAACCGTTGGTCTGTCAAACTCGGACAGGCCGAAGTCCCTTCATCGTTCACGATCGGTTAGTTTCTGACAGCCGTCTTGGCCGAGTCCTTCTTGGACGTGATTACTCGCGTTCGTACGCGGTACCGCAACAACTTGTCCCCCTTGTCCTTGGTGATCACCGCTCGCTCCACAGTGGGAATACCCATCACGATGACCTGGGGGGGAGAGAGGGAAGGGGGGATCGGGGTGGAAGGGGGGAGGGGGGGATCGCAAAACACGCACAGAATTACACAGCACAACACAGGATAGCGAGAGATGTGAGCACCCTTCCCTTCGTCAATACGTCGCCTCACCCGCCGCCGTCGCCTCACCCGTCGTCGTCGTCGTCAACAGTGGGTTCGGATGGCGATGGCGGTAGAGGCGGTGGCAGCAACAGAGGTGACGGGGAGGCTGGGCCCTACAGCGGGCGTGGTTGGGACGAGCAAGGTGACGGCGGCGGCGGTGGGTACAGCTGTCTTTCGTCCGTACGGCTCAGCTTTGGCCTAAGTGCCGAGGCTCTAGAACCACTGGTCGTGTGTTTGCCCGCCTCCGTCACCGGCCTCACCCTCAACATCGGCACGTTTCACCGCCCCGCCGACGTACTGGCGTCATACGCCGCCACCGCCTACCCCCGGCGCCGCCACTGCTGCGCCGACGACCCGCCAACAACGACAGCGGCGGCGGCGGCAGTGCCACCTGCGCAACTGGGCCCCCTGTCGCCGGCTTTACCGGCGGCAACGGTTGCGGCGGCGGCGGCGGCGGCGGGTGCGCTGGACTCCCCCGCGTGGCTGTCCGTACCGCCGTACAGCTTCCTCGGCGGGTTGCGCTTCCTGTGGCCCGCGTTGACGAAGCTGCCGCGGGTGGTCCCGCGGCTGAGGGAGCTCCGGGTGGGTGGCGGCGCGGCGGCGTCCTGCTCCGACCACGTACTCCGTTGTTGGGCGGGCGCATCCGGCGACCCTGACAGCCTCGCTACCCCCTTAGTGCTGGACCCCAGCTTCAACGCAATGGTCAGGCACCAGCCGCCGCCGTCGCCGCCGCCGCTGCCACTGCCACTGCAGCTGCAGCAGCAACCGCCGGCGGGTTTAGCCTCCTATGGCGGCGCTGGTGACGGCTCAGTACCTGGTTATGATGCTGGAGGAGGAGGTGCAGGGTCGAGGGGTAATGGTTCGTCGGTTGCCGCCATTGCGGCGGCGGCGGGTACGGCAACCGGTACGGCAACCGGCCAGCCCGGGTCGTGGGTTGTGATGGTGCCGGCAGGAGCTAATAGCATCAGCGGCGGCTCCGCCGCCGCTTCCGCCGCCGCCGCTGCCCCCGCCGCAGG